AGAAAAAGGGGTGGAAGTCCTAAACAAATCAAGAACTTCTGGATGATCTCCAAGTCCTTCTTCCATCAGATTCTGGAACTCCCCCAAAGAAGATTTCAGGGTTAACTTCATTCCAGGTATTTTATCAATATCAATGGTGCAATCCAACGCTGGAACCTAGAATTAAATTCAAGAACTAATCAATAAATAGATTCGACTGCATTCGACTGTAACCAATTACTGTAACAGTATATTGATTATCTCCATGGTCGAATAACTTGTTCTGTGTCCGAATGTTTCAAAAAACAAACAAAATACTTTAAATGTTATATTTTAGTGTACATGCAATGCACCTCAATTTCCGCAGCATCCAGGAACGATTGACCATCCACAGATGGAGTTACCTCAGCAGAAATCTGACACCAATCCCAAATATTTCAACAGGTAAACAAAAATTGGTTAATTTTAAGTAAGAATTATTTGAAAATACCTGGTTTTCATTCTCCATCTCCTCCCTTTGTGTTTGGGTTAGAATTCTTCTTCTCTTGTACTGGAACCCGCTACTTGCTCCAGTGTTCTCCATGGCAAAGAGATGTGTGGTAGTTCTTGAAGGTATCCGACGATGGTAAACAATGTAGAACGAAGAGCATAAGAGTTTCGATTGATGAAGGCGTATCGTTTCCGAAGCCTGGTCGGGGGATTAAGGAGGGGTTGGCGCTTCAAACGACGCCATTTGACCTTTCTAAAAATCATCTTGACGCTTCGAAGGCAACCTAACGGCTCATCGTTAATTTTAATATTTCCGTTTAATTTTTGAAGTAACGGGAATAAACAGTGACGTTTTGTTGACGTTTTGTTTCTTGGTTGGAAGGACCTTTCTGTCATTTCCCCTCATTTTACGCAAGTAGAGAGGACGCGCCTCACGCGAATCTCTATTAGATCTAGGAGGGCATTCTCATAAATTCCAACCTTTTTCACCCCTTTTCCATAAATTCTTCGGTGGGGGATGGGTTCCAGATCCGACGAGAACGAAGCGAGGTGATCGCAGCTGGTTCGGGGCTCCACCCAACCCGATCCGGACCCGTGCATCACCAGTTCTTCTTCTTCTTCGTAGATGACGACGGGGACTGAAGACGACGATGAAGACGCCATTGCGAGCTATTCCACTATCCAACCGCGGCTAGGAAATGTACTTTAACTCGGGAGTACTTACTAAACATCAGACCAGGCCATTTGCAGGGTTTGGCAACAACTCCCATTCTAAGGATTTCAAGATAGCCTTTCGCCTGGCGTGCCTCGCCCTCTCGACAACACCAGGTGACCCAATCAATTTTGTTCGCTATTTTATTCGGGGTGATTTCCCTGCATGTGTAAGTTTGTTGTTTTGTATTCCATTATATGTAACTTTAGTATATACTTTCCCAAATAAAGCAAAGCGGATTAGCCTACTCCGTTTCGTCTGCAGGATTCACCAGAAACGGAGTAGCCAACTCCGTTCCAATGATTTAAATAAGGAAACGGAGTAGCTAACTCCGTTCTTATTAATTAAATGCCTAAACGGAGTAGCCAACTCCGTTCCGTGTATTTTTTTAATTTTTTTAAAAATGAATAAAGTAAATAAATATTGACATATAATGATACAAACAATCTACCAACAACAACTTCATAAAGTAAATAAATATTTATTGACTTTAAATAATGCATCATACACTGAATTAAAAATAAGAAGTAAATTACAACAAATTTATTGATAGAGTACATAAAATTTATCCATAAAATTTAGGATACAAAACACATGACATAACTAATTTATTTTGTTAAAATCAGAAAACATAAACTTGAACATTTGAAATCCATGATATAGCTATTGTTCATTGCGACGTCGTCGTGGTCGGTAGTCCATGTTATTCGGGTAGCGAGTTCTTGTTGGTCGACCGGTTTGTGTTCTCGCTCGTGCAGTTGGTCTCACAATCTCGTATCCTGGAGTAGGCCAGTTGGCCTCATCTGGAAGCGGCATTAGGATGCCCGAATAAGCGTTGATGTAGGACTGGAGTGAAAAAAAATTAGGAATCAAATGACCCACAGTGACACTACACTGATGACATACTGCGTGAACGTGAATGCACGGAATGTGATATATTACCCAATATCCACAAGTACATGTCCGTGCATTTAAATTCACCGCAAATGTCTCGCGGTGACCATTGTTGAAGGACCCATCCACAACCACAGAGTATATCCCATGTTGTGCGTGGTGCTGCACAACACGACAATAAAGCCTATTTTCTTCATTGTGCTTGATCTTTTTCCACACATTCATTGGAAAATTATACCCAGATTGTTGCCACAAATATCCATTGGTTCGCCTATCAGCAAATAGCTTGACCAATTTGTCATA